TATAGTCCAGTGTTCCACAACAGTAGTGAGTTGCCAGCACAACTGGCATAGTGTGCCCAAGAAGAGTCACCTGGAGGGAAAAAATTCTCTCAGGCTTTCACAGAGAGCAAATTGGTCAAGCAATGGCCATGACTCATCCATATGGCTGACACTGACAGAAGATCCACAAGGTGCTGTACACGGCTCCAGGGTAAATCCTGAAGGATTTGACTGACCTTGTCAGATAGCAAAAGTTACATTTTTAGTTATGTAGGTTTTGCGTTAGCTTGGTCTTAACCATCCAGCGGAAAAATGTAACCACGAGATATAAAAAGTAAAGCTATATTAATACGCTGAGCTGTAAAAGGCTCAAGTCAACAACTCTACTCTCTTTTTATTAACCTCTTTCATTCAAGTCTTAGACATGGACATAGGCACCCTCCCTGACCGTCACCGACAGCGCCACTCTTCAGCTTTTACCACACTGTCCTACAAGTCAAAGTTCTCCTTAAAGCATTTCTTGGTGTTTGTTGTTTTATTGGTTTAGTGCCTGTCTCCCCTCCAGAATAAAAGTATCAGGAAACACAGGGATGTGTTGCTGTTGTTCTTCATTTCTTTCAGAGCTGGGAACATTGCCTGATATGAAGTGGGTGGTTGGTAAAACATTGGCTTATTTAGTGAATGAATAGACTAATAGCATTTCTGCACACCTGTGGGGCATTGTGCGGAACACAGAACATGACTGATCTAACTCCACCAGTGCCTGGTGGCCAGGCCTTCCTCTGTACATTGAGGAAACTCCACTCCGTGAGGTTTGCTCCCTGCCTGAACACTTAGGGAGTAGCTCACGAGAGAGGGCTTATACCAGTTTCCTTCCCTTAGAACTCAAATGCCATAAAAATCAGAGGAAAAGTAATTTTCTAAAACTCCAATTGATCTACAGCATTGTAGAGGAATAGGATGTTTAGTGCCTAAGAATTAGGAAGAACTTCTGCAAGATCCCATTTAGATACTGTCAGTTTAGATACTGTAGGCAGAAGGGGGTCTTCAGAAAGCCACACCCAGATCCAGCTGCACTCTTGGATGAGCAGTGGAGAAGTGGAATAGGGCTCTGTGTGGGTGGGGACCCTTTGGG